GCCCAGTAAATAAGAGAACCTGTCCCCAATTCTTTCTTCCCCTGGCTTCTCCATGGCTGCAGTAACACAGCCTCCTGGACCTTGGAGCACAGGGACATTACCAGGCCTCTCCTTGTTCCCTACAAAGGCTCAACAGTGAGGACCCTGAAAGCTCTTGGGGGACCTCTGTGAGGGTACCTGGGCTGCAGGAGAAAGTCAGGTGTTTAGCATGGCTCTGAACACTAATGCCCGCCCCTCTACTCAGGCGTCGGTTTCCCCCTGTGTAGTTGTGGGTTTCTAAGGTGCACAGAGGATGGAGGTGGCCATCTGCGTGGGGGGAATGCGATAGCTTGTCATTGACATCTGAGTGTGGCATTGGTGCTATACTTGGGCCTTTCCCTATGGAATTGTGAGAAGCATGGAAGGTCCAAGTGAGGACAGTGTACTAGGCACAGGGGTTGCTTCTGTCATTGGAAACCTCGGATGGGACCGAATGGGATGTGGTACAGGGCTCTCTCTGCACATGGCCCACTCTCATAGTGTTACTGTGGATGGTTGGATATTGGAGCCAGATAGTCCTCCCTTCATGCCCACAAGTGTTTATGCCTATATCAAGTGGCCTCTCCTCTCTGATCCACTTACACAACAGACCCTCATTGAGCTGCTGAGATGGGTGGCATCAGGTGGATGGTGGCCCCAGATGACCCTAGAGGGCCTCTTTCTGGCTAATCTGTGGGCTTCTAGACAATCCCATCTAATTTTCCTCAAACTGGGCATGCTAAGGCATGGGAGCTGATAACTCTGGGAGGTTCCTCTGCTCTCTGTTATGCCCATTTCATGAAGAGGCCCTGGCACCCAGAGAAGTTCAGTTCATTGTCTGAGGGCACATAGCTAGGCAGTGGCATAGTTGCAGGTGAACCAAGGCTGCTTGGCTCCATATGACCTCTCTAAGATAGTAACTGCAGAATGGTCACTTGTGGGAAGTGACTGGAGAGAGGCCAGTAGGACTCAGGGAGAGCCAATAATGAGGGGGCCTAGGTGGGGTGGTCAGAGGTGCTTTCTGAATAGGCAACTGACTGGATCATGTGCCAGCATGGATGGGGTTGCAGGGAAGGGCATTCTGGGTAGCGGGGATGGCATGTGCAAAGGCCCTGAGGTGGAAAAGAAGGGGACAGTGGGAGGAAATTGGCAAGAGTTTTCATCCAGATCTGCAGGCACCTCTTTACCAACAGTGTAACCTAAGGTCAATTGCTGAACCCCTCTTAGCCTGCTTCCTTACTCCTGCTGGGGGAAGGGGGCTGCTTATGAGGCTGGAGTGGCCTGAGGCCACACAGATGCCTGGCACTGTGCTTGTTTGCACCAGGGACCCTGGCGAGCTGAGGCAGGCAGACCTGTTGTGGTTTGCCCATGGTGGCCCGAGAGTCTGTTTGTTGTAGTGACGGTCGCCACTTCGGGCCACACCTGGGTAGCCCCAGGCTGCCTGGCCATCTGGGCCCAGTTCTGATGTGATGGGCCAGTGGCAACGGCTGGTGGCCTAAGGCCTGTTTCTGGGCTGTCTCCATGGCAGCCTCGCCTACTCCCTCTGACAGCTGTTGTGGCTGCCCCATAGAGCCCAGGTCACTCCTGACACAGGCTCGTGTCCCTGCAGGGCAGGTGGCAGAGCCATGCCATGTGGTGCCCAGCCTGGGAGGAGGGCAGACCTTACCACCCTGCCCAGCAGCGGGTGTGGACATGCCCTTGACATATGGGGAAATTGAGACCTGGCAAGGGAGGGACATGTATACCATCTTCAAATCCCTGATGTGAGGTGGGTGGCAGGCTGGAGCCAGAGGAGGGAGGGTGGGGAGGGGGCTGAGAGCAGAGGCGGTGCAGGGCAGGGTATAGCTGTGAGCCACCATAAGAGGCCATCTCTGCTGGGGACCAGGGCCAGAGCTCTGGGGGCTCTAGACAGAGTTGTCCTTTTTATCTCAGAATACTTTATGTTCTGACTTCAAAAAGGTCAGTCTGGGGGCATTGTTCAAGTGGTGGAGCACCTGCCTAGCAAGTGTGAGGCTCTGAGTTCAAACCTCAGTAATACACACACACACACACACACACACACACACACACACACACACACACACGCACACACAAACCCCAACAACAACCAAAAAAACCAAACAAAAAGCCCCAAAAGCCTCAAGTCAAGAATAGAAGCTGCCTGTAATTCTCATTATTTAGGATGGATTTTTCATCTTTTTGGAGAGCCCAGTAGTAACCAGGGTGACTATTTATGGGTGAGTAACGGGGCCACCTACTGGGTGCCATGCCCTGTGCCAAGCGCCTAGACCCCCGTGCAGGGCTGGTGGTATTTGCACTGCTCTGTCCAGCAGGTACAGAGCCTGAGGAGCAGAAAGGAGGCCACGGTGCACCCGCAGCCCAGGGCCCCAATGGGTAAAAGAAGCTCTGGGAGTGGATGTTCCTGCATGCCTTGGCTTTTCTCTGCTTTCTTCTTGCTGTATAGAACCTTCCAGGTCCAGGGAGCTCTAGGAGACCCAGGCCAAGTGCTGTTTCCTGTGAGCAAGAGCATGAAGGCCTATGCCTGCCCTCCAGGGGGCGCCCCCTGCTGGAGGTTGCAGTGAGCCCAACCGGGCCAAGTGGGGTCTCCAAGTCAGCACCCTCAGGAGTCACTTTTCCTGGCTCTAGTGTCTGGGCCCCACTGCCAGGCTCCCATGTGAGGGTCCAAGGCTGCACTGTGCAAGATTGAAGGTGGATCCAAACTTGGTTCAGAGATGGTTTCAGGAACTAGGATCTCCTGAGCAGGTGGGGCAGGGCACAGGCAGTTCCTGCCCAGGGAACCAATGGCCAGAGTGAGCTGGCAGCAGCTGATGTGGAAGTAGGTGGGGTGCCCAGGTAAGTAGAGCAGGTGGCAGGGAAGCAAGAAGAAGCTCCTGCAAGGGGCAGGCATATAGCTGATGTGTTTCTCTTCTTGAGTAGCATTGTGGAGCCATGCTGACTCTCAGTGCTGCCACCCACTATGTGCATGGTGCCCTGGGCAAGTCATTTCCCTCCTTATCAGGGTGCCTGGGTGATCTGGCAAGCCCCCTTCCTCTCCTGATCCTTGTTTTCCCACCTGTAAGGTGACAGCTATCCCTTCTTCAGAGGTGGCCCTAACCCAGAAGTGCTTCCCTGCCATGTCCTGAGCAGACCAGCGACCCTGTTCTTTGTACAGGCTGATACTTTTTTGGTGCCAACCCTGTGCCAGGCAACTGGCACACCCCTTCAGCTAGCCTGAGTGTGAACTGGCCACTCCCCTGCTTCTGGGGGGCAGGACTGAGAGAGGTGCTGGCTTGGGAGTGGGGAGGGCCTCCCAGTGAGAAGTTTGCAGTAATGGGCAGGCACCAGGGTCAGTATCTGGAGTGAATGGATCTAGATCTGGAGAGCCAGCCCTGGAGGGCAGCCTGGGCTGGGTCCTAGCCCCGCCCATTGGGATAGCTTGGAGTTCACCTTGTCCAATGTCCTTGCTTCACAGGTGCGAAGCGAGGCACTTCATATCCTTATGTGTCCTTAGAAAGCACATGGGCCAGGGAGCCGGCAGCCTTGCTCCCCACTGTGGCCATGGTCACTTCTCTTGGGCCTGTGGAGTAGGCAGGGTCTTAGGAGGTGGAAAGTCCCTGCTTGTCTTGAGCTGCAGGTTTTTATGTTTACTCTCTCGTGTTTTCCCCTATAGTTTTCTCCCACATTTTGCACCCCATTGTGCAGAGAAGCTGTGCTGGAAGGGGCGGGGGCTCTCGTGCTGGCTTTTGGAGCTGAGCCTGGGTGGCAGAGACTCTTGGGCTGGGCCGAGCACAATGCCCAGTGAGTCTGAACCCTGTGTTTGTTGAGGCCCCTGTACCTGCTCCAAGCCTTTAGCTACCCAATGTGGGCATCTGTTTTCCAGAGTAACTCATCGATAAACAGGCTCAGAGGGGATGTTCAGAGGAGCTGGGATCTGAATAGAGCTCAGTTAGCCTTAGATGCCCCCTATCAAGGTTAGTTCAGGTGGGGATGGATGCCACATGAGTTGTGAGCACTGCCGTAACAGTACACCAGACTGGCGACTTTCCACTTGGGGCTGGTGGACAGGATCCAACCTTCCAGACCTCTTGTTGGCTTGTAGGTGGCCACCTACCCTGTGTCTCTTCACCCCTCTCTCTGTGTCTGTGTTCAAAATTTCTCTTTTATAAGGACACAGTCAGGGTGAGAGTATAGCTCTGTGGTAGAGTGCTTGCTTGGCACACGTGACGCTATGGGTTTGTCCCTAGCACTGAAAAAAAAATCCAAAAAAACAAACAAAACAAAACAAAACAAACAAAAAACAAAGAACACCAGTCTTGTCATAGTGGCTTAGGGCCAACACTAGTGACCTCATTTTAATTTAATTACCTCTGTAAAAACCTTATCTCCAAATAAGGTCACATTCTGAGGTACTGGGGGGTCAAGACTTCAACATAAGAGCTCTGAGAGACACAACTCAGGGCATACCTGAGACCTAGGATATGGGCTTTTGCAGGCCTTCCCACAGGCCTGTGCCCGGCAAACCCCAGCCGCTCAGACTGGCCCTTCTCCTACATCTGTGTGGTCTGGGTGGGCTGCCCAGGTCTTGTCTCCATTCCCTGTCTCCAACTATAAAGCCTGCCCTACCCAGCTGAGCACTGGAGCATGTGTGGCCTGCAGGCACATAGCCAGGTAACAGCTTTGGGGTGACAGTCATGGCTGTAGTACAGCTTCTAGGTGGTATGGGGACTTAGGCCTGGCCAGTGTGGGAGCAGGTCCGAGCCTATCCACTACCTCCCAGTCCAGGCGGGCACATTCTGTGGTCACCCTAAGGCTCTGGGGCCCCTTGTGACACTGATCACACTGACCCTCATGCATCTGTGTCTGAAACTCAGGGCCCCTTGAGGGTGGGGGGCTTGAGTCATCTTTGTCCCCAGCTTTGCCTAGCCCAGGGGACATTGCTGGACTGAAGGACTAACCAGAAACCTCGCCTTCTCCCATTTTAGGAAAATCCAAGAGGAAAAAGGATTTACGAATAGCCTGTGTGTCCAAGCCACCTGTGCCCAACCCCACGTGAGTCTGTTTCAGTTTCCCACCCTGCTCAGCCTGAAGAGGTCTCTTGAAGGGGGTTGGGAGAGCAAGTGAGATGGGGGTGGGGAGTGTCTGCCTTTGCTCCTTGTCCTGGCCTGGGCAGCATTGAGCCAGGCGGGTCCCATGGGAACTCACGAGCATCGCCCAGCTGCCGTATACCTCCTCCCAGTCTCTGTCCTGGGGGCTTCTCCCCATGTCTGGTACTTAGATAGTCATTAATTTGATGAAATTAGGTGACCTGGGAGCTGCCTCTCAAGACCAGGACACACTTCATCCCCATGCCAGGCTGTCTGCGCCTTCCTTTTCCTGGAGAGACCATGGTTCTCTCTGAGTCTTATGGGTTTGCTTTCTCCACAGACCCCCCCGGAACCTGGACTCCCGGACCTTCATCACCATCGGAGACAGAGTAGGTGCTGGCCAGACCCAGAGGGTTGTATTGTCTCATCTGACAAAGACTGAACTGGCCCCACAGGCCATTGGGAGGTGGCTTTGGGTGGCTGGCGGAGCTGGGCTCTAGGGAAGAGCCTTGTTCTTTGTCTGTGACTGGCTCAGAGATGCTAAGTTACTTCCCCCAGGTCACACAGCTGGGAGTGGCCTGTACAGGGTTCCAGGCCAGATCTGACCAAGTTATCCTCTGCTCTTTCTGCAGGGTGAGGGATAAGGGTCAGCTCCTGACTTGTCAGCCACCAATCCCCTCTCTTTTCTGTCCCCCAAGAACTTTGAGGTGGAGGCCGATGACTTGGTGACCATATCAGAGCTGGGCCGTGGAGCCTATGGGGTGGTGGAGAAGGTGCGACATGCCCAGAGTGGCACTATCATGGCTGTGAAGGTAAGCAGGGCCCACTCTGCCCATGCTCTGCCCTGCAAGGGAGTGCCTGGGCCTCAAGGCAGCTGAGAGGGCTGCTTGGAGAATGTGGGGCTGAGCCTGCAGGTCAGTTGCCTGCTCTGTGGCCCTGCCCTCACTGTGACCTGTGATGGGATGGAGTGGTCCAGAGCAGGCCAGGCTGTGGGTCATGGAATGGGTGCTGCCTGCCACCCCTGACCTGCAATCTTCCTGCAGCGCATCCGGGCCACTGTGAACTCGCAGGAGCAGAAGAGGCTGCTCATGGACCTGGACATCAACATGCGCACGGTTGACTGCTTCTACACTGTCACCTTCTATGGGGCCCTCTTCAGAGAGGTACGGCCTGCTGGGAGGCAGTGCGCCCCTGCCCCAGCCCATCCGCCTTCTGCATGTCAGATGCTGGGACCTTTGGGGACATAGGGGAGCCATGCACAGCCCCTCTCCCTGCCTGCCTAGGAGAGCACAGATGGCCCTTCCCTGTTGTTTCGCCCAGCCCTGTGCCTCAGTGTCGTGGTCTGTAAAACAAGGGAGTATCTCAGCCTGCCTTCTGAAGTTGTCATAGAGGTCAGTGGTGTGGTCCAGGGCCTGGCACTCAGTGAATGCTGTACTTTGTCTGTATGACTGTCTGCCTTTTGGAGTACCCAGGTGGGTGAGGAGGGCCCTGAGCAGGGTCACTGTGAAGGTGTGAGAAAAGTGAGATTCTCAGTCAGGTCTAGGTGAGGGTAAGGCCAGGAGCAGGACCTGGGCTGCTGGAAGGCTGCCTCCTGTCAAGCTGGTCAGGCCAGGTGGAGGGCAGTGTGCGGCAGGAGGGAGATCAGGAGCCTAACTGGATGTGAGGGTTTGCAATGGGGACTTGCATCTTCATGGAGCTGCTAAGTGGTCCTTTGATGTCTCCTTGGCCCTGGCTTTCTACACAAAGTCCCCTTGAGAGTCCCAGTGGTGGCTTAGGGCCTCTGTCTCACACATCTCCTCTGGTAGGCTGAATACCCTGTAGGTAGGGAGGCCTCACCAGGTGCTTCCTTCTTGGCTGCCATCCTGAGGGTGCACAGGTGTGCTGAGGAGGAGGGGTGGTTGTTGCTATGGGACCTGTGTTTCCCAATCCCTCCCAGGTGGAGAGATGCCATCCAGCTTGCTCTTCCCTGGAGACACCAGAGAATTAGGCTCAGATGGAGGCTTCCAGGGCAGTAGAGCCTGGGGAGGGACAAGGGGACCTGGCAGTGCAGGTGTAGCTGGCAGGCAACAAGAAGTAGAAGAGGTAGGGAGGCTGAATGGGAGGAGAATGGGAGGGGCTGGGAGCTCTGGGAACATCTGAGGGCACAGTCCCTTCCGAGTGGAGGCTGGGGCTGGAGTTCAGAGGCCAGGCCATGTGGAGCAGTCACAGGATGATGCAGGCTTGTGGGCCATTCAGGCACAAACAGCATTGGTGGGCCTGGTTGAGCACTGGGTATCCCTTGCAGGGAGATGTGTGGATCTGCATGGAGCTCATGGACACGTCTCTGGACAAGTTCTACCGGAAGGTGCTGGATAAAAACATGACGATTCCAGAGGATATTCTGGGGGAGATTGCTGTGTCTGTAAGTGACCCAGGCCTGGTGGACTGGGGTTCTAGGTTCTATAGCCAGAGGCTCAGTCCTATTTGATAGGCATAGAGCTTGCCTTGTCTTGGCAGACCAATTGCCCCCAAAGGCTCAGCTCCTCCATTCTGGACTGAATGGTGCTTTCTTACAAGAAGACCATAGGACGTGGGGCTCCTGGAGTCCCACAGGTTTGGCAGGTCCCTCCTGGCCTTTGAGTGCAACTTTCAAGTTCCTTTTTTTTTTGGTAATATTGGGGATTGTGTCAGGACCTCACAGATCATTTTTATAAAAATGAACTTAGGAGCTGGATGCCAGTGGCTCACATCTGTAGTCCTAGCTACTCAGGAGTCAGAGATCAGGAGGATCAAGATTTGAAGCCAGCCCTGGCAAATAGTTCGTGAGACCCTATCTTGAAAAGACCCAGTATAAAACAGAACTGGTGGAGTGACCCAAGTACTACCACAAAAAAAAAAAAGAACTTAGGACTTACAACTGCCTCATACTAAAAATGTTTTGAAGCAGCTTATAGAGATATAAGCTGAGCTGGGGAAACATTTGATTTTTTAGTCTAAATCTTCCTAGAGGAGTGTAGTAGTTCTGAATTTGAGCATCCTTGCAACCAAAGGAAAAAGAGAAATGGGATAAAGATACCTGTTCTCAATCCTGACTGCATCTGGAAACATTTAAAACATCTCATGCCTCACTGCTGAGGGTGGGGAGAGGAGCCTTGGGGCCTGGTAGGTCATGGTGACAGCCCTTGGGAGTTACAGCCTAGAATCTGCAGTGGTCTTGGGCAGGTCATATCAAACTTGGGGGGTGAAGGGCACAATGCCTGGTCTTCATTAAGATGACCAGGATGTTGGGGCAGATGCAGGGCGTGGGCAGGAGCTGGGTGACCAGGGCTGAGGTATGTGGAGGGGGTGGGGTTTCACTGCACTGCCATCATCAATGCCGCCTGGAGTAACAGCGGTCTTGCCTCTCCTGTTTCCTCAACCCCAGATTGTTCGAGCCCTGGAACACCTACACAGCAAGCTGTCTGTGATCCACAGAGGTCAGTGACCATCCATACCCCACCCCCACAACTGACCATTGAGGTTGCTGGTTGATGCTTAGGGAGGGTTTAGTGGTGCTTGGAGGGACCCAGGCTGCTTGCTATCCTTGTGTCCTGGAGTCTGCTGTGCTTGGAGCAAGGTCTGGATCATTCCCTTTGTCCTAGGTGCAACTGAGTGCTCTCTCTCTTTTTTTTTTTTGGGTGGTACTGAGGTTTGAATTCAGGGTCTCCTACTTGCTAGGCAGGTGCTCTACCACTTGAGCTACGTCCCCAGCATATTTTACTTCAGTTATTTTTCAGGTAGGGTCTAGTGTTTTTGCCCAGGGCTGGTCTCAGAGTCTAATCCTCCTACCTACACTTCCCTCATAGCTGGGATCACAGGTATGCATCACCATGCCTGGCTTGTTTGTTGAGATGGCATCTTGCTAACTTTTTGCCTGGGCTGTCCTTGAACCTTTGTCCTTAAACCACTGTCTTCCTGCTCTCTGCCTCCTGTGTACCTGAATTTTAGTTGTGCGCCTTGGTTCTTGTTTACATACTGTGAAACACAAGGCTGTGGTATGCTACTCCATAGTTCCCATACTAGTTCCCACCATGTAACCTCCCTGAGCATTTCTGGAATCCCTTTCCTCCTGTCCTGTTGCCACGGTGGCCACCAGTCTGGCTCTTCCCCCTGCCTATGGGTTGTGCTTATTAAGCATTAGACTCTTACTAGCCCAGTCCACCCTGCCCCAAGGTCACTGTGGTTGGCAGTTTGGCATGGAATTTAATGGTGGTCTTCTTCTGTGCATCTCTGTCCCTTCGTGCATCCCCATGGAGACATGTGGGATGTGGGCATGTGGTGTGCACATTTTCGTGGAGGTTCCCTGCCATGCTGATCACCCACTGTGAGTGGTAATCACCTGTCCCCCACCTTAACTACCTTGCTGCCTACTTGTTGCATTGGGCTCAGTGGATTGTGTGTCCAGAGTATAGGTGGTGGACACAGCTGGCTCCCTGAGTGGTGCCTCCAGAATCCTGTCACCCCTTTTGCAGTAGAGCCAGACCAGGAAACATCCTGGCTCACCCCCCAGCTGTGTGATTGGGGTCTGGCATGGCACCTCTCACAGTCTGGGTTTTCTTTGTCTGATCCTTGGGTCCCCAAGGAACCTGTGGTTGGCTTGTGGAGATGTGGAAGGAGGGGCTGAGGGAGGAGGCAGTGACCAGTGGGTCCTGCCTCCAGGTAGCACTGTGCAGACTGGGCTGAGAAAGGCGTGTTCCACCCCATAGATGTGAAGCCGTCCAATGTCCTCATCAACAAGGAGGGCCATGTGAAGATGTGTGACTTCGGCATCAGTGGCTACCTGGTGGACTCCGTGGCAAAGACAATGGATGCTGGCTGCAAGCCCTATATGGCTGTGAGTAGCACCACTCAGGGTGGGAGAGGACAGGACAGGATGCTGCCTTGGTGCAGTGGGCAGGGCTTCTGGACTGCATTTTCTGTTGCAGAAGGGCCCCCTTCACTTTGTTATCCATACCCCAAGTGTTGTGTTTGGACAAGCACTTGGTTCACATCTCCTATGGCCACCATTGTCAGGAAGGTGGGGTTCCTTAGGCCTTCCTCAGGGAGGCTAGTTAGGAGGTGGGGATTGGCTCTGACCTTCACTGGCCCCTGTCTCATTGGTGGGGGCCAGGATGGGACACAGTGAGCACTCCATTCTGGGGCGGGGGGAGAGGCATGACCTAACTGAGGGAGTCTTGGGTGCCCCCCCCCGCCGACCCCAGCCTGGCCTGGGTGTTTATGCCTCACCATTTCTCTTGCAGCCTGAGAGAATCAACCCTGAGCTGAACCAGAAAGGCTACAATGTCAAGTCTGATGTCTGGAGTCTCGGCATCACCATGGTACCGCCCAGGGCTGGGTGCAGCCCTTGCTGGTCAGGTGGGGCCGGGGTGGGGCTGTGACTGGGGCCATGAGCTCTTGGGGGCCTCCAAATAGTCCAGGTCCTAGAAAAACTATTGGTTTCGGTATCTAAGAAGAAAATGTGCTACCAAACATTCCCTGTCTAGGAGAGATGGGGCTCCTTCCCTTATGGTTTGGTTTTACCCATCATTCTGTGATGTCAGCCACTCGCCTTGTCCCCAGAGCTCTTGGTGCATGTCAGAAAATCCCAGCCAGTCCCAAGTTTAGCTCTTGTTATATAAATAATTTCCAAAGCAAGATGGTAAAAGTCTTCACAAGTATTTTTCACTGCAGCAAGTGTGTTGGTTGTGGGGTCCTGGTGTGTTGCCCTGGGCTCAGTAGGATAGGGTGGGTAAGGCTCTATATCCTTAGCCTGCAGAGGCTTCCAGGGGTGGGAGTAAGTGCCCAGCCCTTCAGGGCTGAACTGGATTGGGGTGCAGCCAAGGTCCAGGTGTAGGGTGGGCCTCTTGCTCCTAGAACTGCCTCACTAGGGAGAGGTGAATTCAGGTCAAGGTTTATTTGTGTTCTGAATTCAATCTTTCTCTTCAGAAAGTGCACTGGCACCTGTGTGAAGGATGAATTGGAGGGGCAGGGGAGTGAATAGACTGACCCAACAGTTCTAGGGGAATGTATGGGACACAAGGTGTGTGTTGGGGTACACATTGGGTCACAGTGGCTGTCAGCCTGTACTAGTTAGAGGACTCAGCCAGCTGGAGTGATCCTCAGTCCCTGGAGTGCTGGGTTATGTCTTGGGGTCAGCAGCTTCCCTTGCCTGTCAAAACCTGGGCCAGGGAAACTCTGTGCCTACCCCAGCCCTTTGGCTCGCTGGTGGGGAGTAGTTAGAATCAGTCATATCTGTGGTGTGGGGTGTTGGCCTGCCTCTGAGAGCCTCTAGACCCTCAGCTGGGGGTCCTGCAATCCATTTAGATATTGTCCACCTACAGTCAGCACAGATCTACAGGTGAGGGAACCCTCAAGACATACCCTTCATGCCAGTGCAAGCCTCAGGGCTGTCATAATGGTGACTGGTTGTAAATAGGGAGTTCTCATGGGCCCTCCTCAGTTTGATTATTTGCCAGAATGGCACGCAAAACTCAGGAAAGTACTGTATTGTGTTTATTGGCTTCTCATGAGGGATGTGGCTCAGAAACCGCCTGATGGAAGAAGGGCCCCAGGGCCAGGTGTGGAGGAGGAGCCTGTGGGAGAGTTCTGTAGAGTGCAGTCCCTGGCCACGCCCTCCAGGGAGGGGTCATGTGGGGCTGAAAGTTCCAGCCTTCTTTTCACAACTGTCAGGTGATCAGGGGCAGGGAGGACACAGCATAGGGCCCATCTGATGCAAGCCTTGTGGCCTCATATTCCTGCACAGTAGTTGGGGAGAGATGTGTAGGAGAATCACGACGTCATTTCCCATGCACTCGTAGGTCACGTGGGTGGGACAGGGGTTACACTTTGCAGACGTGGGTCACAAGGGAAGGGGTCTACTCAGTACAGACTCAGGTCACACACAGGAAGGCTTTTTGCTCATTACAAACTTTGACCAATTGCTGCCCTAGGTGGTGTCACTGATGGGGCATCCCAGGGATCTGACTACGGTTGTCCTGACTCAGCTGCTTGTGGGGGTTAGCCCCTGGCACTGGACACTTAGGCTGCTTCTAAATATTTACAATGACAGATTCCCAGAGGCAGTTTTTATATTTAAATATTTGAGCTCTTTTGAAAAGTGATCAGACAAGGGATTAGTGGCCCAGGCTTTTGATGCCTCCCTTTCTCTGATTAGAATCAGTGGCTGCTGGGTTTTGTCATGCAGCTCACTTCTGCATGGCAGAAAATTCTAGGAGGAACCTGAGTCTGCATGGTTCCGCCCTGTGGCTGCGTACTCAGGGTACCACCTGTTGCGCTCCACCGTGGGCAGATTTCCATCTTGGCTGGAAAGGCCCGAAGCCCACCAGGAAGGCCTTTGTGTCTGCTCAGTAATTAGTGCTCTGTTTGGAGCCTGTGTGTTGGTGATACAAGGCTTTTGTTTGTGCTGAGTTCTCTTCTATTCCTTACAGTAATTACGGCCTGTCACTGAGGCCTTGTAAGGAATGCGGAATTCTCTGCTATTCTAGGTAGGGGCCTGGGCTGACCTGATTAGTGTTTTTATCCCAGTTGTCAGTAGTAGAACCCAGTTTGTTGTAGGCTGGCCAGTCTCTTCCCAGTGACTTCCCGTCCACTGCAGGCAGGGAATGGAAGGAGCCAGCAGTCCCAAGTGGGCACAGAGACTGGTCAGTTTGATGTCACCATCAGGAGGGGTCCAAGCCCAGCAGGAGGGTGAGACTGTATCTGCTTCTTTAGATCTGAGCATGAGTGATGGGGCTGAGAGGTGAAGGCTCCCTGGAGGAGGAGGTAGCTGGGTGGGTGGGTGGGGGTGGGATTCTACAGAGGACTGCAGACCGGCATTCCTGATAGGCTGAAGCTATGCAGAACGAAGTGAGCCAATCTGATGCAGGGAGAGAGATGTATAGGAGAGCCACATTGTTCTCATTTGTCCCTTTGTAGGAACAGTGGCCCAAATAAATGGCTACAGGCATTTTAAGTCAGTGTTGGGGAAGATGTGTATGTTGTCCATTATTAGGGAGGGGGTGACTTCTGATGAGTAGGGACCAAGGACCTGGCTAATTGAGGTGGCTTGCTGACGGCTGCCTCACAGGAAGGTGCCCATGGTCACCAGCTCCTCAGATCCATTGGGTTAGCTGAAACCGGACTTGTTAGAGAAAATCTGAATTCAGATTAGTTATAAAATTGATGGTGGCCACATAGTCTCAGGTCGGGCTTAGTTGTTATAAGCTAGGTCTGCAGCTGGGTGGAGGAGCTCTGTGTTGGCACCCTGGCTTTTGTCTCTGGTCTGCTTCCATTTCAGTGAGGGCAGCCCCTGGCCTAGCTCTATGTCTTGGGAAGGATGGGTGGGTCCTTCCCACCCCTTGCTTCTGGGTGCAAAGTGTAGGTTCATTGGGTGGCTGGCCTGTTGAGCCCACTGTCCTTGCTGCAGATTGAGATGGCCATTCTGAGGTTCCCTTATGAGTCCTGGGGAACCCCGTTCCAGCAGCTGAAACAGGTGGTGGAGGAGCCATCCCCCCAGCTCCCAGCTGACCGATTCTCTCCTGAGTTTGTGGACTTCACTGCCCAGTGGTGAGTCTCCAGGCTGTGTCCTTCCTCATTCAGCAAATAAGCTTCTGAGCCACTAGTTTGTATCCACAGACCCACTCCACCCTGGGAGGTTCCTCTAGTCCCCATGGTCCTGCTCCTTTCTTGCTGGGCACCAGGAGCTGGTCTCCAGCCTGGTTGTACAAGCCAGCCTCAGCTGCCCTTTCTCTCCTAGCCTGAGGAAGAACCCTGCGGAGCGCATGAGTTACCTAGAGCTAATGGTGAGTGTGCATGGGATGGGGCCCTGCTCTTTGAGGTGGGCAGTAGCTGGATGGAGCTCTGTGGGGAGATCCATCCCAGGGTGCTGAAGGGCAGCTCCTCTGCCTGGCCTTGAACTAAAATCATTCACACATGCAGACCTGGCTGTCCCTTCCTTCCTGCACCCCAGGTCCTGTGGAGGGGTGCACAGGCAGTGCTGTGACAAAAGTGTAGGGGGACCAAGGTGCTATCAGGGAAGGCTTGAAGGAAGTGCAAAGTGTGGCTTTCTGGGAGAAAGTCCTGAGCCTGGAAGGTTGAATACAGGTTTTCTGCTGATGGAAGGAAGGGTGGAGGGGGCATTCTAAGCAGAGGGTCCAGCATGGACAGGGCAGAGGCCTAGCATGTGTATGGAAGGGGAGGGTGACCTCAGGAGTCATGAATACTCTTTGAAAGGTTGTAGAAGGAAGAGTGGAGGAACATGCAGGGGTGGGGCAGCAGGTTGGGGAGGAGTGGCATTTCCCTCTCATCACTTGTCCCCTGGTGACTGCCTGTGTCTCCCACCAGGAGCACCCTTTCTTCACCTTGCACAAAACCAAGAAGACAGACATTGCTGCCTTCGTGAAGGAGATCCTGGGAGAGGACTCGTAGGGGGCTGACCTGAGACCCCACTGGCCCTCCAGCACCCAAGCCCCCTCTGCTAGGGCAGCACTTGCCCATAGCCATAAGCTACTGCCATCCTGGCCCTGGGTGTTCCAGGAGGAATCAAGGGGGCTGCTTCTGTCTGGCTCTGCAACCAGCCATTTGTTCCAAGTGCCAAAGACCTTCTGGAGCTCCCAGCTGGCCCCATGTGGGCGCCTTCAGTGCCTCTGCTCTTGTTGTTCCAAGGACCTAAAGTCTCCACTGAGGCTCTGGACTTGGGGGCCCCACATGCCCCGTGCGGACACTACTGCCCCTCACAGAGAAGGCAGCCAGTGCCTGTGTGGACAAGTTGCCACCTCACCTTGGGCCAGCCTGGGTGTCACCCAAGTTGTATATTTTTTAAATCTCAACTGAATGGACTTTGCACACTTTGGCCCAGGGTGGCCACACTTCTCTCCTGGCCTCTGTTCGGAGGACACAGTAGTGGGATGAGCCATGTGAATCCCCAAGACTTTCTCAAGAGAGAGGCCTTGAGCCACCCTGGGCCTTCACCCAGCACTGGCCAGTGGGCTGTGAGGGGCACACATCACTGCCCTCCCTCCCTCCCCGCCACCGCCCTGCCACCACTAGTGGTATCCATTCATCTATTTTTTTTTTTTAATTTATCCTCTTGACTACTTCTTTTGCTTTCTGGGTTTGGCCATTTTTCCTTGCATGGTTTGGAGCTGATCACTTCTCCCCTAGGGCACCAGCAGGCTGAGACCTGCCCCTTTGCTCAGTCTGGGGTCTAAGGGGATGGGCCCAAGGTCTCTGCTCAGGGCGGCTGGGATAGCTCACAGGGGATGTGGGTTTGCTTTGGTGGTGTTTTTTAAAAAAAGAAAATATATTTTTGTGAAGAAAGGCCTGCTCATCCCAGGCCTTTCCCTGGGGCACTGGGCAGGTAACTGATTGCTGTTTTAATTAAAAAAAAAAAAAGTAGTACAAAAGTTGTATGAGACCGTGTGACTGTGACGAGCCCATTCTACTTATCCCTGGGGCCGTGCCAGGCAGCGTGACTAGGGAGTTGGGGCCCCAGCTCACCAGGGCCCTGCACTTACTAGGTTCCTGTTCACATGAAGATAGGAGACTTTAAGGGGGCTGTGATGAAGTGCTTCATTCTGTGACCATCCAGGCACCAGGTACCCTGCTGGACATGGGATAGAGCAGTGAGCACACAGGCTTAGTCCCTGGTGGGACCACCACCACTGAAGCCCGAGGATGGCCAGCTGCACGAGGGATGTGTACACCTCTGTGCCCAGGGTGGGACATGGGCACCTTGATGATCGCACTGTGCTGTCCCAGTTTCCAGATGAGAAAACACACCCAGAGAGACGAAGTAACTTGCCATAGTCACACAGCTTGTACAATGGGGAAACAGGCTCAGGGACACACAGTGGTGCCCTGCAGAGAGGTGTTGGGGGGGTGGGGGGGGAAGGGGGAAACTCACTGAAGACTCTTGCCAGGGTCCAGTTTGGCTTTATAATCCTTGTGTGTGCCTGGGCAGATACCATCCTCAATCAGACCTAAGCTCACGTAAGCAGGAATGTGTCTGGCTTCAGGTGCTGTGAGATCCAGGCACTTATGTGCACACATTATCCTCATGGAGGCGGGACCTGATGTCCCCCTCCCAGTTCAGCAAACTATTGCCCACACTGCACTTGAAGTCCTGGGGATGGTCATTGACTGGGAAGAGGGTCAGGTGCTCTCCCCCTGCCAGTCACAGGAGGATGGAGTGTGACTGGGCAAGCCCAGATGCAAATGGGGGCAGTGCACCACATGTTACGGTATGAGGTCTACCCTTACCCTCCATCTACCACTCTCCAGCTCCGGTTGAGGATAGACCACTGCCTACTAATCCTTCCCTAGACAGCAAAAGAGTTTCAAAGACCTTTTGCCTCCTTCCCTCAATCCTTCCATCATGAAGAAATGTTCTCAACCCAGGGTCTTTGCATCTCTATGCCTTCTGCCTAGAATCCTGGAGTTGCCTGCCCCCATCTTCCTCTGGTCGGCTCCTCACCATTTCAGGTCCCCCTTGACATGTTATAGAGGAGGCCTTCCGGACTGTCCTGACAAAATGTAGGCCTGTTGGGCCAATGACTGCTTTATCTGGGCTGATACGACCTACTACCCTACCCACTGCATCCAGAGTACCTCTAAGCAGGGGCTCAATCAATCTTTATTGAACGGATAAGGAACAGATTGAGGAAGGAGACGAATCCCACGGCCGGGCGTGTAGGAGCCTATGTGTGCGCGCACGAGCCTATGTGTGCGCGCACATATATCTTTGCACGAGGGCGCGCCCTGTTGTCCAGCGCGCAGGACCGCAAACCCGAGTCCAGGGGCGCGGCCCGCGTTGCCTCTCTTGCGGCCGCCAGGAGGCGGCAGAGCCCGGTCTTTGACCCGGTCTACCAGGAGCCCAGCCCGGCCTCGGAGCGCCCTGGTTCAAAAGAGGGCGGGACTCGGTCCAGCTGAACCTGCTCCACTCTCAGCCGGATTCTGGGCCCTTGTACGGTTAGCCAGTTAGCAGACTGACCAGCCTGGCTCTGGGTTGGTGTAGGGTGACAAGAGTGGGAGGTCTGGCTCACATAGGTTCTCATGGTGCACTGCCCTCTACAGCTGGCGAGTCACTACTGCTTCCAGAGAACACCACAGTTTCCAAAGCACTTGGCATCTTACCAATCAGGGTTTGCAAAAGTAATTAAGAATTTGCAAACCTCCTACTGGGTAACAAAGCACTTTGCCAAGTACTTTACAGTTTGCCAAGTCCTGGCCAGATGAGACAGCCCTTTACAGTTTGCAGATTCCTCTACACAGTGCTGCTGTTTTTTGGGTTCTGTTACCATTTACAAAGAGTGTCCAGGCACCAAATGTGCAGACCACATTGATATCACAGTTTATACAACCCACAGTCACAGTGAAGGTCCCCTCCACCATGCTTTTTGCCGGTGGCTGGGCTCCTCTTCCTGCTCCTAGGCCCTGAACAAGGGTTCAGGGGATAGATCCTGTCTGGGTTCCTTTTTGAGACTAGGTTTCTGTTTCCCACCAGGCAACAGGGTTGGAGCAGGCGCCTCCCCAGACCCTGAATTAATGTGTCTCTCTGGACTGACACAGATGGCAGAAGCATGTGGTCTTTCCGTTTCAATTACAGCCACAAGGGCTCCTCCAGCAGCATTAACATAGCAGCAGACGGGCCTGCTCAGGAGCGCAGGCTGCCTCTGAGGGAGACTTGGCCAATTCCTTGCTGGAGGTTGGGGCAGGCGGCCTCCTTGTTAAACACTGGGAACCAGAATACGGCTCTCATCTCCTGTCAGTGCCTTGCTGAAGTTGGCCCTCCTACCACTCTGCTCCCTGCTCCTTGCTTTGCAGTCACATGGCTCAAACACACCAAGTTTTGATGTACCTTAGGGCCTTTGCACTAGCTGTCCTCGCCTCCCGGAGTGCTCTGTCCCCAGATGTTCTGCTCAGAGGTCAGCTCCTCAGACAGGACACCTTGACTGCCTTTGGCCTACCCTGCTTTCATCTTATTTGCTTATTTGCATTCTTGTCCATTTTCTATCTCTGGGACTAGACTGTGAGGGGTCTGTCTTGCTCAGAGTCTGGCTCAATGGCAGGTAGGATGATGGCTGAAGAAACAGGACAGGTGTCTGATGCTGGGGCCCCAGCCCAGAGGCTGAAACCAGCTGGGGCCTCAGGGCTGGGCCCTGGCAGAATTGTGCCAAGGTTTGGGCCGGGGTAGCTGTTGTGCTGTTTATTCTGGGTAGGCTTTCATGAGTGAGCCAACGCTGCACTGGATGATTGTGGTCTCTCTGCTTCAAAAAAGGGAAGTTATAGGACCCCTCCTCCTTTCAGGTCTCCTTTGTATGTGGCTTCCCGCTCTGCTTCTGAGGCTTGGACTGGGAGAGGCCTCTTGCTCACCCACAAGCCTTAGGTGTCACCCCCATAGTTCCAGAACCTGAGTGAAACACTTCCCCTGCTCCAGCTCTTAATCCTGCCAGGGTAACTGGTCCAGGGAAGAGGCCGGCTGGTAGCTACTTCTCCTGGCTTTCTCTTGGGTTACTTTCTGGGCTTCTTTATGGGCAGGGCATTGGCTGGGCAGGGCCAGAGTCACCTGTCTTCCAGTAGAAAGGTGGGAGTGTCTATCCAAGGCTTCATTTCATGCCTCCTTCCCCAGCCATCCCCCAGACCTATGGTGTCTGCTCTGCATCCCTTCACTGATGGACATGGAGCCGTTTCCTGGAGGGGTCTGAGATCCATCCTTGGGTTCCTATTCTGCTTTTGAGACAGCGATGCAAAAGTCTGGTATGCAAAGTTGGTACACTCAATGCTTGCTTCTCTGTCCTGTGGAAGCAACTTTGAATCTCTTTGGAAGCAGGTGGGAGAGTCTATATATTCCTCAGCTGTATGGTGTTTACTAGCATTTACTTTTTCATCTTCCTTCCAAGGGCAGAGGCTCCCAGGGGCTGCAAAGCCTCAGTGAGTTTCCAGCCCTGCCTGGGGCCACCCAGTGGGAGGCAGAGCCAGGGAAAGCCCAGAAACCTGATGTCGTGCCCCTCTCTCCCTCATAGAGACTCTGCTCCACCCCAAGTGGGCTACCTGCCAAGCCAGGTTTAGCTGCAGCCGCCCCCTTTGGTATGGCAGGAGTCGTGGGCTGCTCTATTCCTGTTAGGTACCAGCATTGTTGGGGACTTGGCTTGGGGGAGCTTTGGGAAAGTAGCAGCAGCTGCAAGCTCTGACTGGTGATGGCAGAGTTGCTTTGTGCATCCAAGAAGTTCTTCCCTTCCCCAATTCCCAAGCCTCCCATGGCTCCCTACTTCCCATGGCACCCAGGGAAAAGGAGGCTCAGCATGAGCTCTCTATATAGTATGCTGTCTGTATTCTTTGCAGGGCTTGGTACAAGCGGTTATCCGAGTGCCTACAATGCAGCAGGCAGGATTCTAACCCTGGAGCAATAGCAGAGCTAAGAGACTCGGCCTGCCCTCAGCAAGCTGAGTTAGAAGTCACAGATGCTGAAACTGCACTTCCCACCTTGTCCCATGATCACTCCCTTGGGAGAAACAGCCAATCACATTAAAATTAATTAATTACATCATTTAAATTAATTAAGCTTACTTGTGATTAAGTGGTTCAATTTGATTAATTCATTGATTTATTTAAATTTGAGTTTCAAAACTCCCAAGGAATGAGGGGACTTGGTGGCACTGAGGAAGATGAGGGGTTGGAGGGCAGATGGCACGGGGCCTCTGCAGATTCTGGTAGAGACTAAACTTGATTTCCAGGGCATGAGGGAAGTCACTGAGGGCTTTTAAGCAGGGGACAGACATGCTAATTTACAAGAGCCAGCAGGCCACTCTGCTGCCATGTCCCCATCCCAGCCAGGTGGATACCTTTTTGCCCCCAGAGCCCTGCTCTGTGCCCCCTTAGCCCCTCACCCACAGCTCAGATAGCCTTGAGTCCGACTCACCCAGCTATGTAATCTTGCAGGCTTCCCAACTTCTTCTTGAGCCTCCTCTTCCTCCCTGCAAGCCAGGGTTTCTAACACTGGCCCTGAAGGATCCTGGTGGCCTCAGGGATGCCAGGAGTGAAGGCCTTTTGAGGGCACCCATGTATTTCGTTCTAAATTCATATGCCTGTCACTCTAGCCTATGTCCTCTCCCGGCCCCTCTTGGGCCAGATGCCAGTTCGCTGTCCTCTCTACAGTTGTCTTTAAACCAAAACTTCCCTCTGGAGATCACCTGGTGACCCACACTGATGGCTGCACCGGGCTTGCCCTTTGAACCTTGGTCTCTGTGGCTGGAAGTGGCTGTTTGGGACTGTGAGCTCTCACAGGCTGCTTTGGTGGGCCAGGGTTTATAGAGTGCTTGGAGGAACTTTTAGGAACCAAGAGGTCCCCAGAGGCCTAAGTATCAAAGGCAATCCAGCCAGAGCTCTGTGGTGGCCTGGGTCCCAGACAGTCACAGGCAGGAGTCTAGTCCTTTTAACGTCTGCAATGAGAATTGGGGGACCCTCCTCCCCCAGGCTCCAATCAGGAGGGTGCATTCTCTAAGAAGAGTCCCACAATACATATTAATGACGCCCTCCTCTTCTGCCATCAAACTTCTACTCATCCTTCAGAACTCACTTCCACTGACTCTGCCTTCCTGATGCTTTTCCTGCTCCCACCAATGGAGGTCACCTACCTGCTCAGAAGCCCTCACCCCTTGCAGGTGTGGCTTCCTGACTACTCCCCC